GTTAAAAAAATAATAAAAAATTACATTAAGAGCATTATGTCCTAAAACACACACAAATGGACCTAATACTGCCATATAAATAACTAGGACATATAAGTATTATTTTTGCTACCGTCAGAGAGAAAGATTAAAATTGCAAGACTGTCAGAACCAGTAAAAAACATGTTATACATGTTCAAATTTTTGAGTCCTATGTTTATATAAGTAATAAACTGACAAAATGTTTCTTTTCTTTAAGAATGGCAGAAAAATAATTAGTAATCAGGTCTGAATTTTACAGGTTAGTAGTTTTGAATGTACATCAGTGTGTGTGTTTATATTTAATTATTATTAATATTTAAGACCTTGGTTATTTCCGACAGTGTGATCGTACAGAGGTCCATTCCACGGCTCATCCGCTTGAAGTCCATTACTCAGAGTCCAGTTCGTATCATCTCTGACCTCCTGGGTCCAATTACAGAAACCTGATTCACAAAATACACATTTTACTATAAAAATATGCAACTTGAGCAAAAATACACTGTAGAATACTCTAAATTATGCAAACAATGTGAGATTAAGCGGCTCTTTTGTTTGTTTCTTTCTGCAAGCTTTACCTTCTTCGAATGTGCAGTCCATGGTGCAGTCAGGAGCACTGGTGGTGGTGGTGGTGGGGTTGGGCGTGGTGGTGAGGATGCTGCCATCACAGGTTTGGCCTCTGATGATGTGGACATCATCCAGGGAGAAACTTCCGTATCCTGAGGCTGGACACCACACTTGTAAAATAATCTGTAAATTTAATTCATTTTATTATTGTGCACTAAGACAGAAGAAAAGTAATCTCTGCAATTAAAGAAGGATTCAGTTTGAAGAATAGAATGAAATAAAGAGGAGCATTGTACAAATACCTGATGACGACCTGATGCACTGTACTCCACTCCATCTTGGATCCACGTGTTGTTCGTATAACCACTAGTATTGAACAGTGGACGCAGTACACCCGTCTCATTGATAAACACCGTTAGTTTAAAGTCTGAGGGCCCTGAAAGCAACAAAAACACTTATTTAAAAACTAAATGTACCTACTGAGGAAGAAAGAGGAAAAAGTTTGATCTATGATAATGTACAAGATAACCTTCAGTTAAAGTTATTGTTTCCACATGTTTACAACATGCCACTAAATAAATAAAACCTAACCTTGACCCCTCAGTTGTGTTAACTTCAGGCCTATCTCTAGACTCCCATTTGTCTCAGAACTACTGGAAAAAACAGTTGAGTCCCAGTTGAAATGTTTCTTGGAGGATCACGCTATTTTAGAGGTGTTTCAAGCTGGCTTTAAATCTCTCCACAGCACAGAGACTGCTCTATTGAAGGTTTTTAATGGCATTTTCATAGCCACAGATGCAGGTGATTCTGTGCTGCTTGTCCTGTTAGACCTTACATCTGCTTTTGACACCATTGACCATGAGATCCTCATTTCTAGGCTGGAGCAGTAGGTGGGCATCACACGTTCAACCTTCAAATGGTTTAGATCCTACCTTTCAGAACCTTTTGTGTCAGCATTAAGGATTTTAGTTAATCATTGGCAACTTTTCTGTGGGGGGTACCGCAGGGGTCCATCTTCAGTCCTCTTCTCTTTTATTTATACCTGCTGCCTCTAGGTGCTATTTTCCATAAACACAACATACTCTTTCATTTCTACTCCGATGACTGTCAGATTTACTTCCCTATGACGCACAGTGGTGCACATTCTATTCAACCTCTTCTTGACTGCCTGGCCGACATCAGGGATTGAATGTCTTCAAATTTCTTAAGCTTTAATGAGAAGAAGACTTAAGTCATGTTGTTTCCTCCTAATGGCACAATCAAGAACCATGGTATCGACCTCTCCTCTCTTGCCTCGTTAGAGAAACAAAGAATCACTAATCTGGGAGTGACAATGGACCCTTCCATGAAACTTAACAGTCATGTAAACATGATTGTTAAATCCTGTTTTATTTCAGCTGAGGCGACTGTCTAAATTGAAGCCCATACTGTCCAAAAATAACCTTGAGACTGTAATACATGTGTTCATACCATCCAGGCTCGATTATTGCAATGCGCTTCTGTTTGGAATCAGTCAAACCTCCACTGCACGACTACAACTGGTCCAAAATGCTGCAGCCCAATTTTTAACCAGTACAGGCAAAAGAGAGCACATTACTCCAGTTTTGGCCTCACTGCACTGGCTCCCAGTTCACTTTCAAATTCAGTTTAAAATCCCTTTGTATGTTTTTAAATCTCTGAACAGTTCTGCCCCTTCTTATCTCGCTGATCTGTTGCAGCCATATGTCCCACAGCGCTCTCTGAAGTCAGTGAATCAGATGCTTCTTTCGGTTCCAGGAACCCCTCGTAAGCTCAGAGGTGACAGGTCCAAGACTGGAATAACTTACCACTGCATGTCACTGTTTTTAAGTCTCGCTTAAAAAGCCACTTTTATTCCCTGGCTTTTGACACAGTGTGATTTGTTCTTAACTTCTATGTATTCTACAGTATTTATCTTTTTCCATTCTATATTTTTATTTTACTTTATTTTATTTTTTAGTGTGTGCTTTGCTTGTTTGTTTCTGCTGCACAGCACTTTCGTTGGCCTTGTTGCTGTTTTAATTGCTCTACAAATAAAGTGGTACGGTATGGTATAGTAACCACACTTCGGTTGTTTGTAAAGAAATTATTTACATCAGGAAGAGAAACAATTACCAGCATTTGGAATAAAAGTACTTTATACAGAAAAATGGCAAATTTACATTTATTTAATTTGAGAAATGTTGGCAGAAATAATTGAAATAAGTAAAATAACTTCATGAGTGCAACAAAGAAGTTAGCAGATATTTTTCCTTGATTACTTGTATTTTATTCCTCTTTTGACTTTAGCAAGAATTTAATTTCACCTGGAGGCTCCGTGCAGCTGAAATCTCTGACAAGCATTGTCTATAACTCATACATAACTTTTTTTAGGTGTTTCTGGTTAGCCTAAATCTTTGTGTAAAACATGTAAAAGGTTAAAAAGTTTCTGTTTGTCTGTCTTTGATGTTTTCCGACACCACATAAAGCATGATGGAAAAATCAGAAATGATGACAGGTCTTCATTGTGTGCTGAAGAATTGTCACGTAGAGCGCGTGTCTGATTTGATGCCTGCTCAAACAGCTCTTATACAGCACTCTGAATATAAAGATACGACTTTGATGAAGGCCTGTATCAGTAACGAGGGCAAAGGTTTTCTGATAAACTCCAACAGGTTTAAAAGCTTTCTTAAGGTAGACACAGTCTGACACTCAAAATCAAAAAGTAAAAGAATGTACTCACTATTATAGGACCACCCTTCAGCATGGTGCCAGATCTTGAGGCATGCTCGATCTACAGCATCCATGAACTCACTCTTCAGTCGGGCAATGCTTTCTTTATTAGACCTAATGTGTGTAAAGAAGGCAAAGTGTCCTGTGGAGACAAAAGACATCATAAGATATTGAGAGATAATTCGTCCTTGGCCATGCTCTTAAGTAAAGCATACATTGTGAATATGATCAAAACTTAACACCTCAAATTATCAAACGGTGGCAAGATTTACTGAAACAAGGACCTGAATGAGAAAATATTTGTATTTTACTTTACCTGACTGATTTTTTCCCCCCTGACTTCAGGATCACTTCAGTTTTTAACAGTAAAAGTTTTGTTAAAATAATACGGTTGAGTACCTAGAGCAGAATTTGTCGTGTGGTCCCTCCTTGGAACCATCTGACCCTCACTTTTACCGGAGAGCCATTCCCAGCCCACTCCAGACTCGGGTGGAGGACTGTTCACCCAACCACAGAAGTCCATCTCAAAGTCGCAAAAACCTTCAAGAAATACAGCAGATACTCCATAAGTACACAAACACAGCAACAATCAGCTGTTAACATGTCTGCTTGACAATTACAGAGATCAGTGACCTGTTGGAGGACAGACACCGTTCAATACTGTGATGTCATCTATGGCAATATCTCTTCTTGGTCCATCTCCAGCTGTTGCTTCAAAACCCATCTGTCAAACAGAGCGACAAACTGATTTGGAGTCACCAAATTAACTTAGGATTCTCATACGCCTGGTTGACTGTGAACCTTCGCCTGCAAATGATTTTTACTTCAGTGTAATATCCTTCTCATTAGGTTTGCATGACTGTGCAGCAAATATGAGGTTTGTTTTATCGTTGATCTATGTTTTTACTAATAATAAAAATTCTGTGAGTGAAGCAGTAAATATCAATAGTGTCTTGTGGTTTTATGTGTAGCTTGTTTTGCATCACTAAGACTTTTAAACTTTACAAAGAGAGGAAAATAACAAAAGCTGATATTGCATATGCTTTGTAATCAAACAAAGTAT